CCGTATGCTGTGGCGTATACGCATGTGGATGTGGATTTTACACAACCGGGTTTATAGAGTGTAGCTGATATGAGTTGAGAGCACACCGTAGAATTGCAGGACACGTTGGCATATGAACTGGAGACTGAAGGGTCAAAGATGGGGTCCACTTGTTTGTAGCAAGGCCTAACGCAGGGCCGACATTGAGTCCAAGTGAGGTGGCTTCCTGTGTCAAATGTGAGTGAAAGTTGCTTCTTAGGTGTGCCTAGGCCCACCGTCACAATGTAGTTGCCCGCACCCACTGTACTCCCGGACATGGCCGGGACAGTGGTGCTGTCCCACTGTCTTTGGCCACGGCGGTCAATTGCTTTCTTGGGATTACGCCGAGAGTGGATTGAATTCACTCGGGCTTGGTCTTGCTCGAGGATTTGAGTGTGAGTGGGAGCATTTTCTTTGTGTAATTGGTTGAAGTGGGAGCAAGGGCCATGCTTGTGTACCACTTTAAGTACTGATGCCTTCTTGTCATGACCTGAATTGAAATAGATATATTAATGTACCTACAAATGTAAATACACCTACGTACAACTTTGTACCTACCTATGTATTGTCTAGCTAATCAAAATACCAAAATCAGAATTAATGTATGTTACGTACCAAACTTTAATGAGAAGGAAAAAAAAAAACTTCTTACGGAAGGAAACACCAACTCAAGAAACGACAACATGCACATAAAGAGAGTGACATGAATAGCCAGGTATTTGTATTCGCACACTTTTGGTGCTCCCTCACGGAAAATGCCAATACAAACTCTATTTATGAACAAAATTATCTATGCCTATTGAACTTTTTGTTAGTAGTGTGGATTTAAGAGTTATGTGATCAACCTTCGGTGGATCCAGGGCTGCAAGTGGTTGCTGGTAGCAGAGACTTGACTTGAACTGTATGACTTTCTTCCAAGGTAAAGCATGTCTCCAAAGAGCAGAGAATCAGGCAGACAAGTACAAAGAAACGAATGAAATACCAGAGGAAGGAGGAGCTAGAAATATTGGGAGTTTCCATGACTGAAATTAAGTTAATTCATGAATAAGCATACTCTTAGCTTTATAAGGTAATTGGAGATAGCTTTTAGGTGGTCTCAACGTCACCCATTATAGCGCAGTGGGATAGTGAGAAATTTCGATGCTGTTTCTGCTAAAAAATATTTGGTCTCAAATTCAATTGATTGTACGCCTATGCAGCCACCCAATCCCACCAAGCTCACAAGACACTAGTCTAGTCAGTAATAATGAACGTACTCAACAAGTTTTTCGTTCTTTAAGATATCCTGTTAGATTGTTTGGCAACAACATGATACATTCCCACTTCGTACTGTTGAGAATATAGGATCTCATTGAGAATTCTAATTAAGCATTGAATGACAAATATAATATCATAGGGCTCTTCATGTGTGACTTCTTCTTTTTTTTCTCCTCTTGAGGCAACAGCGGGACGCCGATTCTCACCCATATTCACAATTAATTTTAGGTTTCATGGTCTAAATTTTTTTTTCGATAAATACCACAAGGTCTCTCCACACCCAGCTTGCCCCTGACCACAAAGTGCTTCAAACGGGTTTCGAACCCCTACCATTGAGGCACCAAGTAGCTCACTAGCTAGAGGTGGCAATTTGCCAACGGCACCACACCTTGTATTAGAGCAGTAATTCATTTGCCAAATCCAACCACCATATATGCTCCACCTAATATGTATTGACTAACATATATATTTGATTCAGTCTTTACCGTATGTTAAGTGGGCATATTGAGAATGCATAATTTACGTTCTTGGTAGCAAATAATGAGCATATGTAGAATCTAACAATTAAAGAGAATATGTAATTAGCAGTTAACTCTTAATTTAGTGGTACTTCTTTTTCGAAAGTTGGAAAATATTCCAAGTTCGAATCAACATCCCCCACTAACAAATAACAAAGAGCATATATAATTACTATTTCATTGAGTTTTATAGAATGAAGTAAAATCCAAGTGAAAATCTTAATTTTGTCGTGCTAGTTTCTTTTTCTTAAATATGGAGCCTACAAAAACGAGACTGGTTAGAGAATTATATATAAATCACAAATGGACTTGAACCTGCACCACTTGTCCAAGGTTTAATATCTTTAACAAGCACTAAGACGTTCTTTGAGTAATGCGCTTATGCCAGCTTCCTCTTGTACTAAAAGTTTTCTATTTTATGTGGAATTTGCCGGTTGACCAGAAACATATTGCCGTTCAAAAATCAAGTGCTTCAGTGCGTCTGTAATTCTATAAGCATGGTGGTAAACTTAGTGCTCGGGAGTAATTCTAGATAGGTTAGAATCAATTTTAGGGAGAAGCACTTTTCATGTGCTTCTTCATACAATCATCTTTAGAATTTTAAGTGATTCTAGGGAGAAGCACCTCCCATGTGCTTCTACATAAAATCACTTAAAAACCACTTAAAGTGATTCTCCACAGAAGTGATTATTGGCCTATCCATAATCAATTTCAAACGAGTACTTATAATTGTACTTCTGTTTTTTTGCCAAATGAACTTAAATTGAGTGAGCATTATTTCATGGGATATAATGGTAGTCTAAGTGGTGGTAGTCTGGTCCTACGAAATATGCTTAAATAAATTCACATTAACTATGTTTATTTGTTTATGTATAAATTTTTTTTTAGTACAAGTAATTGAAGATGGGGGGTTTACACAAATATTTATTGAGTGTTTTGGGGTTTCGAACTTCATATAAGTGGAGGTGGAGGTGGAAAATCTCAACCAACTAAGCTATACCCCACTAACTATTTATCGTTCAATTTAATTCAGACCCACAAGCAGATTTTCACAAAGCTTCTGCAGACAAACTTGCCGTACAATAAGTGCAAAGAATATTGATAACATTGATGAAGATAATTGGAGAAGAATGCAAGAAAGCAAAGGAAGCTAGAGACAAAATGAACTTGATTCTTGTATATTCTAACTCTCTCAATGAGTTAGCTTTATATAGCTCCCCTGCGCCCAAATAGCATCTCTGAAGCCAAGCCATAGGACCATAAGTATAGGTATGCCATAGTGCTTGGTTACTTCATGGGCTTTTCGCATATAAGCTCATAAATGAGGCCTATATGTTTTACTTTTGTGAGATTTCTAATGATAAGTCCCTAACAAAACTTAATTGTGTTTGGAAGCCTGTATTACTTGGACTTAAATCCATATTTTTGATCACATTGCTGACCATTGAATCATGAGGGACTTTTAGTTAGTAGTATGTTTATCTAGTGTTCTAATTTGTTCAATGTAATTTTTGTCTTTTGAATATTTTTGAAGTGTTGTCCACCAGGACTAAAAGTAATAAACTAAACTTTTTTTTTGGGTTAAAAAACTTGAGTTTTTCTATTTAAACCCCACACTTTTCTTTGTTTACCCCAATACTTAAATCATTAAGCTCTTATGTTTTATTATTGTGTAAAAAGACAAAAAAAGTCATCCAACTTAATACTTAACCCTAGTACATCTATACACACACCTCACCACTCTTCATATTAAGTTTTAGAAAAACACAAACTCCTCTTCACCCTATTGCCAGATTACTCCTCTTTCAATCTAAGAAACCTACTACAATCTCATATTCTCTTCACAAACCCTAAATTGGGATTGTCATAGTAATATAAGTGGATAGGGAGGGAGTGGATATTACGAATTCCCTTGGCTTTGCATGACTTCCTCACCTCTCTCTCCTTCTCTTTCTTTTATTAATAGATTTCTTCCACGCCCATGGCCCAACACTTCTGCTTGCTGTTTTTATTTATCTCCTAAATTGACATAATGCCCTAAATAATATAAACGTAGTGTTTACTGCATCCATGTACAACAAATATATAATAAGAAAATATACATCAAAATACCATATACCAAATCCGTTTTCCATAGCAGAACAAAATTCTTGATGAAGAACAACTACACTTGTAAGCTATTACTTGTAAAATATTTATCACACTGTTACATTGAAAAATAATAGAACCTATTCTACGAAAAAGAAAATCGGGTGCAAAAGAATAATGATGCAGTAATACCTGCAAAATGCTGTTATGAAACTGCAAGATGGACTTGAAGATCTTAGGATTCTGGTGTGGGGTGTGAGGTGGATGAGGTTTTTTTTATTGTTTTTTTTTTTCTGATGGGTATGTATTTGGGGATAACTTGGGAAGCTAGTGGGTTTTCTTAAAAATTGTGAAAATTTAAATTAGAAGTTAGGATGAACCTAGAATATAAAGTGAACAAAGAGAAGTGCGAGGTTTAAATAAAAAAAAACTCAAAAACTTGCTCTGTTTTGTTTCTCAACTGGTTGGCTGTTCTATTGGGCATTAAGCTCTGTTTGGTTGGGGGTAGTTGCCCAATTTGTTTCTTATTTCAATTTCAAATCATCGGGATGTGATATACTATAAAGTTATTTGCGTCTGTTTAATGAAGTATTAGTGAACTAGTATAGATATCCCATTTTCATAGTAAACATATGTCATATGACATTCTTATCTTATAAAATTATTGCAAACATTAACAAAAGGCATATTTGTTTGGTTGCGTGGCTAGGATTGGATTAGAGTTGAGTCCAAGTCAACCCTTATGAGTCTCACCCCTCTAAATAAAACTTGTAAGACACAATATGTTGAACTGTTGTCTATTTTAATAAGTGGAGTCCGAGAACACTAAACAATGGTCAGAACTGTTGTTCATTTTAATTGAAGTAGTCCAAGTCCAATCTCACTTACCAACTATAAATCTTGATCAAGGGGATTTCTCAATCACTTTAATTTCCGGAGAGGAAAGTGGGACTAATCATAATTTCCGAAGCCGACGAAGTGATTACGCCTAATTTTTTTTTTAAAGGAAGTGATTAAGCCTAATTTGAATGGGCTTGAAAGGACATTCTTTCACTTGCACGTGAAGTCATATCACATAGTAACACTTTTTTTTTAACCACACCATCTTGGGACATGCGGCATGCCTATGCCTATGACCACTGGGATAATGAACGCAAATTGGCCAAATCTAAACAGAAAAAATGACTCTCCAGTGCTTCGCGGCACTACAGTGCTCCATTGTTCCCCACCATCCAACCGTCCGTTTAGTTCATCCCAAGATCATCTCTCCAACGCCATCATCATCAACCATAACAAGAAGGGGAGCTTTATCCGCTGCTTTAATCTCCACCACATTCACGCTGCTCTTGACGCTGACACCTCCTTCAAAGTCCGCCATAGCCGAATTCTCAGAACTCCTAAACTCCGGCGGCGTCAAGGCTTTGGAGCTTCGCCTCGGTGACGGTGAAGTACCCGCCGACGGCGACCAGGTTATCTTTCTCTCCGATATACATGATTTATGAACTGGGTGGTTGGTTAAAACTGGGGTAAGGGGTTGATGGGTATGTGGCTATGTTGCCTTTTGATTTGCGTATAATCAAAACAAGCTTGGTTAATTTACATGGTTGTGCCTGTACATAATGGTTGATGTAATCTTTTGCATTTAAGCTAGCCAGTAATTTCACCTGTTTTCAAGCAGTTAGGCTGTAATTTGCTGAAATTTTTTTTGTGTGGCCAAGTTGTTGGATGCTGTTCTGTTTAGAACAAAAGGAACTCTATATTTTTGGCTTTTGCAGCATTTAAACTTCAATATTACAGAAGACAGAACAAATAGCATAAAAGAGTACAATGTGCACACTTTGTGCCCTGAAATATTTCTTGTTTTGGATTGAGAATTCAGATTTGTGGGACAATTTGATGCCTAGCTATCTGAAGGCCTCTTGCAGTGATTGAAATGCATCTATAGCCTTCTAAATGTGTATACTTTGATTGTGAAGGTTGCTGTTCATTACTATGGAAGGTTGGCAGCAAAACAAGGATGGCGCTTTGACTCGACATATGATCACAAAGATGAAAATGGTGAACCGATTCCTTTTGTATTCGTTATTGGGTCTGGGAAAGTAAGTCCTCATGTTAATATGGTCTCCTAGTCTTTACCATTAAAAGATATTAGTCATGTCATATTTATGTTTTACTAACACCAATATTCACTATTAGTACTACCTTTGAAAATATTGCGCTGTATATCATTAACCTACAACCTAGCTAGCTGATTCAAAACAATGTTGTTATGCAATACAGATTCCATTTCTCCATTATATCGATGGAATGGTTACGTACAGCTGCAGCTTATGTTCCTTCATGTTATTTCACATTTGCGTGTATGACTACTTGTCAATTTGATTGTAATAATTGGTCATGTCATGTCTTTAAGCACTATCCAAAATCCTCTTTTTCTAACGAAATATATTCATTTCCCTTAAAAGCTTAACCAGATATTAACAGCTATAATTTTGTGCGGTAAATACCATTATGTCTGTTTAGCCTTTTGGAGACTTACCTTTTCTTAACTTTAGAAATGTTTTAATCCTTTGTTTGAACTGTCACAAGTTGTGAGACTCTCTTTATATTGATGTTGCAAATGCATATGCAGGTCATTTCAGGGATTGAAACAGCTGTGAAATCTATGAAAGTGGGTGGTGTTCGTAGAGTTGTTATACCGCCATCACAAGGGTATCAGAACACATCACAGGAACCTGTACCACCTAATGTAATTGCTCTGTTTCTTCCAGATTCTTTCACTTAGTCTGTTACCTTGGTAAATTTATTCTTAAACAGTTGTTTGCATATATCTTCGTTGAAACGAAAGAGAAGCTACTTTCTCTAGTCAGAATACATTTCGCTTGTTTGCTTCTGTGGTCTGCATGGGCACACTTGTGTCTAAAGTAAAAAGAATCTCAAAATCTCTTTATCTTGTGCCATTAATCCGTTTTTAAAGGTGAATTTAGAGTAATCCTACCATCAACTGAGAGAGAGAGAGAGAGAGAGAGAGAGAGAGAGATGTTTGCCCCTTTTTTGGTGCAAATATTTTCAGTTAAAGTTACCTTGCTGAGTAAATTCATTAAGGATGCTGAGAATATGTAACAGGGATATGGTTGTTAGGAAGTTATGAATGATCCAAATCTATATAGCTTAATTTGGCATCATCAACTACAGCAGTACATCATGCATCATATCTGCCATACATGATACATGTATCTTTGTATGCATGCAGACCAAAGTATTTTCCCCCTCATTTTCTTGCCCTTGTTACTCAGCTCTCAGGGTTTATTGTCTTTCCTCAGTTTTTTGACAGGCAGAGACTGTTTACAACCATTTTCAATCCAACTCGTCTTGCTAATGGAGAAGGCTCAACTTTGGGGACTCTTGTGTTTGATATTGAGTTGGTCAGCCTGAGACATAAATGAAGACTTCAATTATTCTTTGTCTCCTATGCCAATGCTTTGTCTCCTATGCCAAAATTTAAGCTGTAAGAAGATACTTTTTATTCATTCTGGGAAAGGAGGTATTTTACATGGTCGATGTGGCTTATGATTGCTTACTTCAGCTGTAATATATAAACCAATTGTCTGAAGGTGTACAAAATTGTAGATTCAATGGATTGCTGCTAAATTTCAGCTCCACGTTGGATATCATGTGTTATCAGTCAATAGGGATGATGGCTTTTGGTTGAGTGCAGTAGTTTCTTTTTTTTCCTTCTTTAGTTTGTCTTTTTTTATAGGAGAGAAAACTTTGGAATCTTATACAGGGGGAATGAAACAAGAGCTGTTGAAAAAACTTCTGTGCTGATATTGTTTCTCTGGTGCGTGTTTTACCCGTCAACCTGAGAATTTAGGAAGGACTAACAGTTTTGTTTCTTTGAGTAATGTGTTCTCATTTGCCCTACTGGAAATGGCCAGAAATGTTTTCCTTGTTTTCCTTTTTTTCTTTTGTGTTAACTGGCTAATTTGAGAACATATCATGAGACTTTAACCCAGATAGAGAGAGGTTCACAATTTCTGCATTTTATGCCAAAACCAACCATGGTGTTCTGCAGAATCCCATATTCTCAGGTTTAAAATTACTGTAGTTTAACCTTAAAGTATGGTTGTATTATTTAGTTGGGTTCTTAGGAGTAATAGTTCCTCAATTTGTGCCCGAATTGCATTTTGGTCTTTGAACTTTAAAAATGGCTCTTGTAGTCCCTCAACTCCACTTTCGTTACACTGTTGGTCATGCTGTCATAATCTGTTACATGTTCAGTCAAATTTAAGGGGCATTCTAAATTTCCTGATTTATGTGACACTCCTTTTTTCTTCAATTCTAGCACCACATATAATAGTCATTTCACTCTTGGATCACTACAAAGCACTTTTAGATGGAGCATTTGAAATCATATTTTTGGGTTTGATTGATTCTTTGATTGTGTAGATTCAAATTCAAGCATGGTGAGCATATTGAAGCCGACCAATACCGTGTACATGCAAACATACCAAATTACGAAAAGTTGACCAAAGCACTTTAGTCATGTGCAAGCAAGCAAAAATATTCATAAAAAGTGACTGAAGCTAATTTTAGGCTGAACTCCACCATCCCCCTCAGTGCCTCCCAACCCTTTTTCCCCTAAATTTCCTGGATGCTAGCCCTATATTGGGGAAATACAAGCCTACCAAGAAGACCAAAAACTCCTCCAGCCTCAAGATGAAACACACCTTGTTGCTTCCATATCAAGGACCAAAATGGAAAAAAGGTCCTTGACTTAAGGATTTTCCTCCATCACGTTCCTTGCAGCCAGAAAAGTCAAAGTTTTAGTCTCATTTGCACGAAAATGACAACTCTCGCGTTTCATCTAAGAAAGCTTTGAATTTATTAGTATCCCTTGTGCATTGAGAAACTCTCCCTACATTGCAACCCTCACTGGCTTTAACAAACGCCAGCTCTCTGCCCTCCTCTGCTCTGCAGGCTCTGTTCTCCAGGCTCCAACAACTAAATTACGATGAAGGCGACGAGGGCAGACCGGGGTCGTTTCATAATTTCTTCTTTCGTCTTCATCTGTTTCTTGTGTGCCTTGGCTTCTATAAACGAAGTACGGTATGATAGTCTTCTGAAATTTGGCCGATGTGCTCTTGCCAACATCAACATGCCCTGTAAGCTCAATGCTTCAACATCAAACACTTTGCTTGCGCAGAGCTCTTCCTCCGATGATGAAATTCGCATACTTTTCGGCATTCTAACACTTCCTGACCAATACCAGCGCCGCCACTTCCTGCGTTTAATCTACGGCACGCAGACTCCGGTGGGAGCGAAAGTGGACGTGAAGTTTGTGTTCTGCAACCTCACAAAGGAAGACCAGAAAGTACTTGTTGCATTAGAAATAATGCGTTACGATGATATTATCATTCTGAATTGCCAAGAGAATATGAACAAGGGTAAGACTTACACCTACTTTTCGAGCTTGCCCGAGATGTTCAACGACAAAGAGGGGCCTAATCCGCCTTACCATTATGTGATGAAAACCGACGACGACGCTTATTTTAGGCTGCAGAGCTTGGTGGACTCTTTGAAGCCGTTGCCTAGAGAAGACTTGTACTATGGTTATGTTATCCCATGCCCAAGTATGGACCCTTTTGTGCATTACATGTCTGGCATGGGGTATTTGATTTCTTGGGACATAGTGGAGTGGATCAAAGAGTCTGATATCCCTAAGAACCAATTGGAAGGGCCGGAGGATAAAATTTTCGGGAATTGGATGCGAGACGGGCATCGTGCTAAGAACAGATTCAATGCTAAGTGGTCTATGTACAACTTTCCTGAGCCTCCGACAAGATGTACACATGAGCTTTGGCCGGACACAATTGCAGTTCATTTGTTGAAGAATCAAGAGAAGTGGATTAGGACATTGAAGTATTTCAATGTCACTGATAATCTCAAGCCTTCCAAATTGTACCATATACCTTAGGTAATATATACCTGAACAGTTTACTTTTTCTTTTATTTTTATTCTTTTCAATTATTGCTGAATTTAGATGATACAATCTGATTTTGATGATTCATTCTTGCTCTATACTATGTAATTTGATCTGAGGTTCAAATGGGTGATTGGCCCTCCCATGAAAATGAATGCCTACTGCCATCAAAGTTATTTGGTTCATGATGTGTTGATGAATTCACCCCGCATCTACTTTATAGGAGTTATTGAAAAGGGCAAATTATCTACAAAAATAAGGATGGTTGACTTCACTGGATTCTTTGAAGCTTTTTTTTTCCCTCATTGTGACCATTTTAGTTTTTGTAATTTTTAATTTCCTAGTTCACCCCTAACTGAAAATCATCCCAAACAAAAATAAGCCAAAGTGGGAGGGAGATGCCCTCTCTCTCCCTTTGCTGCAACAATTTTAAGATGAAAATTGGGTGATTTGCAACTCAAGAGAGCGAAAAAAAGAAGGTAATAATCGTGAAAGTTGAGAGCGGACTGCCCTGGATCAACTATAATCATCGCACGTGTGGAGAAGTAACTATTTATAAATAAGTATAATAAGGTGTTTTATCAAAAACAGCCCAACTTTAACCCTCAAATTCATAAATGTTAGTTTTTAAAAAAACTTTCAAGGGTTAATCGTTTTATTAGTCCCTGAACTTAGACCCGATTTGCATTTAAGTCCCTCAATTTCCAAAATCGTTCTCATGGTCCTTTAACTTCACTTTAGTTAGGACAAATGGTCCTGCCATCAATTTTGTTAACTTTTTCTGTTAAATGCAAGGGCAAAATGGTATTTTTATATTAAAACCTAAAAAATGAATAAAAGATCATATCTTTAAAATAACAATAAAAGAAAATCAAATAAAAAACCACCCAAAAAAAAAATCAAGTTTGGGGGGAGTAGAAATCAGGATAGAGGGGGAGAGAGAGAGTTTAATTTTTAATTTTTTATTCATATTTTAATCAATTTAATACAAAAATACTATTTTGCCCCTGCATTTAATAGAAAAGTTAACAAAGTTGACGGCATGACCATTTGTCCAAACGAAACTAAAGTTCAAGGACCACGGGAATGATTTTGGAAGTTGAGGGACTCAAATGCAAATCGGGTCTAAATTCAAGGACTAATAAAACGATTAACCCAAACTTTCAAATATAGCCAAAAACTCACTTAAATTGACCCAAATGCTCTCTAAAGAGTTGATGAGAAAACCCACCAATTCAAGCCATAGCCACATAGATGTTTTGTATTGCCTGGATTTATGAAAACTTCCTTTCTTTCTTTTTTTCTTCTTTTTGGTAATTACATTGTCATTTTTATGATAAGATTCATAAGCATGATTGAGTTGACGAATCCAATTTTGTTTTTATGCTTTTAGCTTTTAGGTGTAATTGAGTTATAATTTAGAGGGCATTTGGATCAATTTACGTGAGTTTTTGGTGATATTTAAAAGATTTAAAAAAAAAAAAAACTGACATTTATGAATTTGGGGGGTTAAATTTGGGCTATTTTTTATAAAAACTCTATAATAAGTGGGGTGCTCTCCTAAAATTGTATCGAAGTCTTTTGAGATAGGGTCGCAATCACGCCATGAGGCCTTACTCTCAACTCTGTATTGTATTAAGTTGAGAACAATATATATATATATATATGCAATCTGGAAAGAGCTTAAAGATACAACTAAAGTAGTACTAGAAGCTGTTTCACCTTGGGATTGAGGTGTAGCTAAGTTACATATGGTTAGATGGGGACTCAATTGCCTAATAGACGTAGTAGCTTAGAAAAATTGTAAATCCTAATTAGGCTCGAGATGTAGACGATCAAGATCCTTCAAGTTTGTTGGAAAATTCAAGATAATACTCTTGGTCCAAGTCCAATCTAAATCATCCAAGCTTTTTTTTTTTAACAAATCTCATGACCAATGTGAATTTTTGTTCATTAAACTAAACCTTTCGTTTCTTCCAACAACTCCATTAGGTTGGCAGTGTGTCTCTTGTACTTCAATAATTGGTTGGTACATTTCATATTAAGAGGAAGAATATTGCTCCTTGGCTTACCAAACAAAGAAATGTATTATACCCCTTGCAAATTAGGTGGATACTAATAAACAATAACTCACGTACAAAACTTTACAATTATTTTAGCTCTAGTCTCTTTCCCATCACTTACCAGATTTCATCTATATGGAGAAACAAGGAAAGAAACTTTGAATACATAAACCAAAGCTTGGAATTTTAGGTTTTCTTTTGCCAATTAAGCTCTAATTTTCTCAAGCGTCCTATAACAAGAACATCATGAAGACACCAAGGCCAGACGGGCTACGTTTTATAGCTTCTTCTTTGTTCTTCATTTGTTTCCTCTATGTTTTGGCTTCTATAACCGAACTGCGATTCGACAGTCTTCTGAAATTTGGTCGTCGTGCTCTTGCTAACATCAACATGCCCTCTGCTCAGTTGTATAATTCATCAAACACTTTGCATTCATCACCAAACATTACTTCACTGGCCCTTAATTCTTCCTCAAACGATGAAATCCGAGTACTTTTCGGAATTCTAACACTTCCTGGCCAATACCAACGCCGCCATTTCCTTCGTTTGATCTATGGCACGCAGACTCCAGTGGGCGCAAAAGTGGACTTGAAGTTTGTGATGTGCAACCTCACCAAGGAAGACCAAGAAGTGCTTGTAGCATTGGAAATAATGCGTTATGATGATATTATTATTCTCGATTGCGAAGAGAACATGAACAAGGGTAAGACTTACACCTACTTTTCGAGCTTGCCCGAGATGTTCAACAATACAAATGGGGTTTATCCACCTTACCATTATGTAATGAAAGCTGACGATGATGCCTACTTCAGGCTGCAGAACTTGGTGGACTCCCTGAAGCCGTTGCCTAGAGAAGACTTGTACTATGGTTATGTTATTCCATGTTCAAGCATGGAGCCGTTTGGTCACTACATGTCTGGCATGGGGTACTTGATTTCTTGGGACATAGTGGAGTGGATCAGAAAATCTGATATCCCCAAGAACCACATAGAAGGGCCTGAAGATAAAACTTTTGGTGACTGGATAAAAAATGGACATCGTGCTAAGAACAGGTTCAATGCTAAGTGGTCCATGTACAATTTTCCTGAGCCACCCACGAAATGTACACATGAGCTTTGGCCACACACAATTGCAGTTCATTTGTTGAAGAATCAAGAAAAGTGGATTAGGACATTGAAGTATTTTAATGTCACTGATAATCTCAAGCCTTCCAAATTGTACCATATACCATAGGTCTTTAAATACTTGAAATTTTTATTTATTTTATTTTTATAATAATTCTCATTATTGTTGAATTGAGACCAGACAATTTGATTTTGATGGTTACACTCTACACTTATTCATCCAAAACTTCTAGGTGATAGAACTATGTATTCCTAATTTATAGGAATAAAGAAACGAGAGGAATTTTAAGACAATAAGAAAAGCAAAAGGAGAAAAACTAAGGACTGCTTTGAGTTCTGCTTGGTTCATTTCATTGAGAATGCAATATGTAACTTGCTAAAAATAACTACTTAAAAATGGAAGATACAGTTTAAACCATACAATTTATATGGCTTAAAATGGTCAAAAGAATAACTAGAACCTTTAGTTTTGGTTTTGAACAGACAATGTCAAAACCTTAAATATCTAAAAGCTTTTAATTATTAATTAAATTAATTGTTATTTTAATATTAATTTATTGAGATCCTCCTGGAACATGGCTCTCCTGTTTAAAAACCTTGAGCTCCTGCTCAAGTTAAATGGTGAGATGTGGATATTCTTGGGCTACCTTGTCTTGAATATTCCACTTTGATTTGCTGGGAAGTTGACCTTTTCTTCAAGTCATTAACTAATGAAAGGCGAGTGCTTTCGTCGGGATCATCATCAAGTAGAGACCACGGAGTGCCTAACGGCCACTTTGGTCCCCCACCTCAAGCAAGAAACAAAGCTCAAAAGGCAAGCCACAGTGAAGTCTCCTACTAAATGCTTATTACCAAATCCAACGATTCTCTATGAAAGGGTTTTTGATCGATATACATAGGATTTTGCTTCATTTCTGAATGTTCATCGAAATTTTTAAGCTTCTTCGTTCTATTATCGAGATTCCAATAGCTTTCTTTTATTTCTTTATGTGCTTATTGCTCACGAAAACATCTGCGTATCTTTCCGATCTTTCTTTCTATTTATCATATTTTTGGCCTTTTCGCCTGAGGCTTTTGGACAAGACTAGTTGCTCCAGTTGGTTAGTAACCTCCTCGGTTAGGGAGGCTTTTGGTCTTTCGGTCTTTCAATTAAGCTATTAGTACTTATAGTCAATGTTTCTAATCTGGATGAGTGAAACAAGGGATCAAAGCGTCGAGGGGCGAAGTCTTTATGATCAGGTGCAATACTCAAAAAGCTTAAGATTCTCATCATTGATGACCGAGTACATATGCATGTATGGTGGTAATTCAAATTGAAATGCATTATCACCAATTTGTTTGATGATCTTGAACAGTCCAGAACAAATTGGCTTTAGTTTCTTGCCTTCATCAGTTAGCCACTCCTTTCCAAGGTGTAACCATACGAGGTCACCTTCTTTGAAGTTACATAGCACACAATGCTTATCATGGCGAGCTTTATATTGCTACTGAGAACGTTGCAAATGTGCCTCCACTTCAGTATGAATCTTTCTAACTCGTTTTAGAAATTTATGTGCTCGAACATGTTCTTCTTCTTCCTTCCACTTAATGGCGTTTCACTCCTAGTGAATGCCATATCAAAAGGACTCTGGGGTAAGTAACCCAAACAAACCTCACAAGGAGATTGGAGTGTGGAACTATGAATTGCTCTGTTAAAAGCAAATTATAAATAAGGGAGACTTTCATCCCAAGTCTTCGGATGCTTGAAATTGTAACCCCTCAACAAGTGTACCATGGTCTGATTTATAACCTCCATTTGTCCATCAGTTTGCATATGAAATGAAGTGCTTCTTTTCAATCTGGTATCCATCATTCCCTATAATGACCTCCAGAAATTGCCTAAGAATCAATTGTCTCTGTCAGAAATAATCGATGTAGGTAAGCCAAAATGCTTCCAAACATGTTGAAAAAATAACTTAGCAGCGCCTTCTCCAGTAACGGTCTTCTTGCATGGAATGAGAATCACCATCTTAC